TATTTATTTTTTTGGTACTAGGGATTGAACTTGGGTCCTTGCGCTTGCGAGGCAGGCTGCGTATATATATTTTTTAAATGTTTATTTAGAATTCCTGATAACTTTCTCACCTTAACTTTACTTCCACAAGTAATGCAGTTTTGTTTTGTTTTTTTTTTTTTGGTACCGGGGATTGAACTCGATCCTTGCGCTTGCGCAGCAGGCAGCGAAACCACTGAGCTAAATCCCCGGCCCTCTGCTTATGTTATTCTAATAATTACTTGAAAATGTAAACCTATTTAATGACTGCTTACCTTATGAAAAATTTCATGTTATCTCATCAATGACTGAAACTGGTAAATACATTTGTATTACATACCACATTCTCCTTCATAGCGAATATTCTGAAATTCTGCATAGAAGACAGCTTTCTCAAACATTCCCAAGAAGATGACAACACCAATCCAAAACTGAATTCTCAGGAGATCTCTCCAATAGCAGGCAGACCATGCCAGCCACAGAACACCGAACAGGACATACACGATACACATCACCATGAAGAACTGTCACCCAATGGGGTAAGAGACAAAAAGGAGAATTAGAGGCAAGAGTCATATATCTATATTTAGTATCAATATAGTCTTAAACCTCAAGGATATATAGCACATACTCTACCTTTTACTTGACTAGTAATTATATCTTTGGAGTTATTAGCAAGCATGAAGACCAGTCTCTTGAGAAGAGGCAGACTACACAAGGACTCGTCCTCAAGAGTGACTGCTCCCCCCATTAATAAGCTTCTTCAGCTTACAACCCAAAACTGCATAAGCAAAGAGAATGCAGAAGAGGATAAAAGGCACACCGGGTAGGGACGAATCCAGCAGTCAGTCATAAGACACAACACAATGGGAAAACTCTCACAGGGACAGGAAAGAGAGCAACCATGAACAAGGCAAGCCTGAAAACAGACTGTGGATATTCTCAGACAGAGGGGTCCACACTTCTTCCACATCCACACAGTGAAGAGGAGGAAGCGTGGCCACTCAGTTCCTATATATAATGGGCTCAGAAACTACAGGATCCTGGCAAGATAGCTGGGGATTTAGCTCAGTGGCATTGCGCCTGCCTTGTAAGTGCAAGGTCCTAAATTCGATCCCCTGTACCAAAACAAAAGACAGGCCTCACTGTAGGTCCTTACAAAAATGTGAAATGTGAGAGGACCTTTGGGGAGATATTAACCCCCTCATTTCACAGATTAAGAACAAGGCTTAGAGGGCCACTGACTCTCCCAAGATCACAGCCTAATGAGAAGTCTGGAACTTCAAGGAACATTTCCTCAACTGTACAGGAACAATTCTTTAAAAAACGATACAGCCAGAAAACATGAACATGCTTCAAGCTAAACTCATGTAACGCTAACATTAAAAATGAAAATTCTAGGGCCAGGGATTTAGTTTAGTGGTTCTGCCACCTGCCTTGCAAGCGGAAGGATCTGAGTTCAATCCTGGGCACCAAAAATAAATAAATAAATAAATAAATAAAATTCTGGGGCCAGGGATTTAGCTCAGTGGTTCTGGCACCTGCCTCACAAGCACAAGGTCCTGAGTTCGATCCTTGATACCAAAAAAAAACAATTCAAAAAATTCAAAAAAATTTTTCAAAAAAAAGATAAAAGAAAAATAAAATAAAAATTCAAGGGCTGTGGATTTAGCTCAGTGGTTCCACTGCCTGCCTTGCAGGAGCAAGGTCCCAAGTTCGATCCCTGGTACCAAAAAAAAAAAAATTCATGCCAAGTATGGTGGCATATGCCTACAGTTCCAGTCCTCTGGGAGGCAGAGGCAGAAGGATCACAAGTTTGCAGCCAGCCTGCCATACACAGCGAGTTCAAGGACTGCCAGGATCATATAGCAAGACTAGTCTCTGATAGGTCTCCCACCACCTCAGCAGTTATTATGTGTAGTTGCTGCCCTCTTCCTATGGTGCCTTGCCCCTTCCCCTGTGTGACGTCGTGCCAAGATGGTTGCTCCCACCAAAGAACAAACCCTTCTTCCCAGCATGCCCCTGTTCCCACCTAGAGAGTAACCTAATACTCGCTCACCTCCTACCACCTAGTGACATCACCAGCTCCTCC